CGCGTCTGCAACTTACATATAAGTAGATATAATATACTAGTAACAAGTAAAAGTAAAACTTACTCACGATTTAGCCTATCATCAAAAGTTTGGAAGAATGAGTTGATGGCTCAGGGTCCAACTAGTATTATAACGACACAGCAGAAACCCATCGAAATGCAATGAAATATTTCAATATAGAGAACAATCCTCAGGAAATATATTTTTAGTTCGAGATTATTGTTGCAACTCATTAGCGATTATGTTTAAGCTAAATATGTTTTTAAAGAGTGATTCATTTCGAAGTTCCCTACTTTTTAAAGAAAACCACAAATTTACTGGAAATGTTTATTGTCATTTGAAAGAACATTCTTTGGTATCTAGGGATAAACTTCCTTTAAAATTTTGGCCGCGGCTACGTCTCAGATGGTCCATGCGTTTAATACAATTTTCGATGACGCATTTGAGCACTTCGACTAGTAATGATGTTTTGCTCCAAGGTCTTAATGGCAATGGGATTGTCCACATAGACTTTAGACTTTACATATCACCACAGGAGAAAGTCCAACGGTGTTACTCTTGCTGGCCAATCGTCATATTATCTGCTCATTGAAGTATTCTCCCAATAAATCGAGATGGAGACTATGGTTCCACCGGCCTACAGTCCACACCAAACGCTTGTTTTTCTGGATGAAATGGCAGCTCTTGAATCTCTTCAGGTTGCTCTTCGTCCCAAATGCGACAATTTTGCTTATTTACATAACCACTAAGCCAGAAATGGGCCTCATCGCTGAACAAAATTTGGCTCGGAAACGTCGTATCTTCTTGGAACTTTTCAAGAACCCATAGAGCAAATCGATGTCGCTTGGGAAGGTTCAGTGGCCTCAAGCTGTATTTTCTACGCTTTCAACTTCAAAGTCGTTCCATACATCAGCTGCTATTTTTTTTCTCTGCTAGCTGGACGTGATCTATTCGGTCGAATATTTACATTTACTTTACTGCACAAAAATAAAATGACAGCTTGACGCGAGTCACGCGTGATGTGCCGAAAAAAGGCGATTGAAAAAAGTACCTCTAGAAGTGACTAAGATCAGAGTTGAACATATTTCTATAACTTAAGATAGTAGTAATACATAATCGCCCAGATAACTCGAGTACTTAAAAAAAATTTCCATTAATTTATAACTGTTTGTTATTGAAGATTAAGTTCGCAATATGCTATCATTTCCAGCATAAGCTCTGTTACATGCTTTTCGAACCAGTTTGGCGGATGAAAAGAAACGGTACTTTCGCAAGTGTAAAAAATCTGCCGAAACATGGCTTTTTTTGGTAGGTCGACTGAATGGAGAGGACCAAAGTATGATTGTTAAGCGGCCACTCTTAAGACTTCGTTAGGTTCATTGTACTTCCAAGAAGGTCCCGGCCATACAACAAGTTAACAGATTTCACAAAGCTCCTTATATACATATATGTATTTCTCCACTTTAAAATGGGTTATCAATTGTAAAATAATTATATGATTATTTAAAAATGAATGGACGCAGAAATCGTTATAAAATGTCGAGAAGATTTGTTAACGTAGGAAAAGTTTTGATTGGATAATTTTTATTTACAAAAAAATACGACACAGCATCAGCACAAAAAATTGTTTTTTTTTTTTTGTTGCTCTGATTAAGATTTTCTAGTTTTGAATGTGCAGAGAACGTATAATATGAACCTTCTCTATATTATACGTTCTCTGGGACGCGCTCTTGTCTTTATGATTACTGCATATTTTATACGAATTTGAATGGAAAATCATTTATTTTGAATGACTACTTTCACTCAGCTCAGCGGTCACGATATGTCTACAACGCCTACCGAGATACATAACAATTTATAAAAAAAATTGAGTCTAAAGTGCTCTACATAACAGTTTCTCCTAAGGGTATTTCGGAGACATTTTTTAAACCAAATCATACTTAGAGCAAAATGTTGGTTCCTTTCATACTAATCATTATAATAACGATGCAATCGTATTTTGGCCTCTTCTTATTACACAAATGCGACATTGGAGTTCTTGGTCAACAAAACCTTCTACTTTGTGCCTGAAGAAAAGAATCTGATAAACTTACCACAATGCCGACCGAATGAGTATTTTTTAGGAAAATTCAAAGCTTTAGTATATTATTAGTAGGTCCAAGGAAGTTGATACTAACGGTGTACAACGTTCTTACACAAGTACAGGGTTTGTCCGGAGAGTAATAGGACTGAATCGACTTAAAAAAATGTATAGAACAATTCGTTACAATTCTTTAAACCTTTCAAAATAGGCTCTTTCTGTGTCAAGACAGCGGGATTTCCAAGCATTGAAGGGAGAGCCGTGGTGCATATTGCTTTTATCCCCTCTGTGGTTTCAAAATGCTCGGAAGATTGCCTCTTTTTCTCGGGATCATACTCAAAAATCTGTGACTAGTCACCTGTGATTCTTCTTACTCTTTACTGGCGTAGACAACGCTTACGCGATTATAGCTGAGTTGACAACTGCTCGTCAGTCGTTACATCTTTTCTCTACGTGGCGCCAATTGGATAAATAATTATAAAATAGTAATAAAATAATAATAAAAAAATAAAATACATCAAGTTACCTCGGACCATTATCTTGTTGCGGCCAAGATTCGCACCCGCCTCTATGCAGCAAAAAATGCATATCAGCAAACACAAGGAAGGTTCGACGTCGAGAAGCTGCAATCACAACAGACAGTCGAACGATTTTCTACTCGGCTTGCACTCCTGCTCTCTGAGAGCACTCGTCAACAACTCGGTACAAGGTGGGACGGCATTTCATACTCCTTACGTACAGCTGCAACCGAAATCATTGCTTTTCGGAAAACACAAAAGAATAGCTGGTACGACGAGGAGTGCCGTGTCGCAGCGGAGAGAAAACAGTCTGCCTACCTCGCAACGTTACTATCGACCACAACACTTGCGGGATTGGATACATACCCAGAGTTGAAGAGGGAGCGAGACGCATTTGCAGACAGAAAAAGAAAGAGGCCGAAATGCGTGGAAAAGAAGAGCTTGATAAGCTGGCCAACAGGGGTAATGTTCGAAAATTCTACGAAAAAGATCCGTCTTCTTACGGAAGGTTTTTAGACCGGAGCATACTCTTGTAGAACCACAAAAAAATCATGCTGTGGCTTTAGACCTAGCAAATCAACAACCGACCAGATATTCCCCATGCGAAAGACGTAATTCCCGTCCGGCTATATGGTTCAGAGGCCTGGACGATGACAACAACTGATGAGTCGACGTTGCGAGTTTTCGAGAGAAAAGTTCTCCGAAAGATTTATGGTCCTTTGCGCGTTGGCCACGGCGAATATCGCACTCGATGGAACGGTGAGCTGTATGAGATATATGACCACATTGACATAGTTAAGCGAAGTAAAAGACAGCGGTTACGCTGGCTTGGTAATGATGTTCGAATGGACGAAAACACTCCAGCTCTGAAAGTATTCGATGCTGTACCCACCGGGGCAAGCAGAGGAAGAGGGAGACTTGCACTCCGTTGGAAGGACCAGGTGGAAGAGGACCTGGCTAAGCTTGGAATATCCAATTGGCGCAACGCAGCGTCACCTGTGATTACGTTATTCAAAAATTGCGGATCAATTTCACTCAGGTTCAAATTTTCTTGGCACACTTACACTCGATGCTATTTCTGGTCATCAGTGAGCACATTTAGAACCATTTTCGCCTACAACTTTCCCATGCTCAAGTGCCTCGTCACAATGCCATGAACTGCAGATTTTGAACATTTAGAGCTTTTTCAATATTCTGAAAGTTTCGGCATCAGAATTTTTTTGCTCATACAAAATTTTATGAAACTTCTTTGTTAAATAATTTCATTCATCGTAAAAACCGTCGAATACACTATTTTTGGACATGGTCTCCATTTCTTATTCAAAGGCTACTTGCTGGATAGTTATCGCTGAAGTTATTTGTAGAAAAATAATTATTACACGTTGTTTACAAGTACCTTCTGGATATGTGGTTTCTATTAGAAGGGATACACATTGAGACAATTACGGGCCAAACTTAAATTATATTTTTGTAAGGCCAAGGTTCAAACAGTGTAAGTGAATAAGATACAAAACACTGAAGCTGCGAAGGTACACCGAAAAGTACTTCGAATAGATTATTGAAAAGATTTCGCAATCATACCATACATTGACGGTTTACAACGTGGGGTATCCACATTGCTCGTTAGTGAGTTTAATACCCAGTCGAAGCAAACGCTAAATTTGCAAACACTTTATAAAAAGCGGTCGTCTTTAAGCTAATAATGACTAAAACAGTTTTTAGGGCTTACAAATAACACCAGTATTCTACTGTGGTTCGCAGACTAAGGCGCTTACAAATTATATGTTTGTGTACAGATGTATTTACATATGTATACATATAGTACATTCGTCATTAAGTATTTGTGGAATTTAGTAAATATACGTTAATTTCTATAAAGAGCGTAGCTTTATTATTTTTTTCCTTTTTCCGCTGTGTTAATGAACCCTACCAGGCAAATTCGTATACCACGTTATTTAGCACTGGAATTCCACCCCACCCAATTTTTGAAATGTTGTAACAAAAAAGGTTGTTAGCATTATTTCGAAAGAACTCATTTCCGTTTCCCATTAAACACCTTTGTTTGTGAGACGAATTTTGATAAACAGCTTTTAACATATTTTTCATGCAATAAATGGTAATCGATATTAAATATATATGTGTATGTGTATATATCAAAAGCAGCATAAAAGAAGTATGTCATACAGCAACATTACAACAGCATGATTATACCTGCAATAACTACTGTCTTGATACAAGTGCCTTGCTTTTCAAATCATCCGTATGCAACTTTTATAGAATAAAATATTAAGTAACTGAACTTTGTCATTCATTTATTTGAAAAACTATTTCAAATGACATTTTTCTTAACTCTTAGCTAAGGCTCATTTCAAATTTTACAAGTATGTGAAATAAGTAATTTTTGCTTTTTTCGCCAAATCAAAAATTCATTCTGTATTTAATTATTTTTGAACTGAAAGAAGTCAACTTTCAGGTCTAGTAGTGAGGTGGCCTCCTGCGGCGCGTTATCGTCTTTAATAGTTAATGCTTCCACAGCGTTGTCGCTCACATGATCATATTGCTGCACGAGAGTTGAGGTTACAGTTGATTGTACAACCGATCGCGGTGGAAGCAGTAGATTGGCATCTACCAATTTCGTAATACCATCATGAACTAAGTCCCCCACAGCACGCAGAAGGCTCTCCTCAGAGGGTGGTAACAACTTACCACCAGCTGATAAATTTAATTTTTGCGCTGCTTCATCTGTTAGGGTATCATCCAAACTGATTGCTGTGTAATCTAAACTGGGAGTGCTTACAGTAACTACCGGCTGTATGACTTGATGTCGTTTTCTTCCCTCCCCGTTCGTACCGTTATGATCTGCTTCTATAAAGGGAGCCTCACTGTCTATAGCAGACATATCGAGCGCATACTGACCCTCCGGTATGCCTAACAATCGAGCTGTTCGTGCACTAACGAAATGCAAACCCGAAGTATTGCGTATAAGTCGGGTGCTCCGCAACTGTAATTGCTCCACTAAATCATTTAGCTCATTTAGAAAGAGATCAGCACGTTGATCTTCATTGAGTAAAGGTTTCTGCAATTTCGAAATAAGATAGCGGAAAATAGTCATATCTTCGTTGCTATTGTCTGAAGCAATTTGTACATTTTGTTGTTGCTCCAATGGGTTCTCAACAACGTTTGCTAACATATGGTCTGGATGTTGTGCGAAGTGACGATTTAAGCGGCGACCCAAAAATATTTTTCCACATTTGGGGCAAATCGCTTCCGGTGGTACTCGGCGATTATTTTTTATAGCACTTGTTTCAGTCAAATTGTGTTTTTCGGAGGATATTGGAAGGGGTTTTACTTTGCACTGAAAATCCTTATCTTTTGATTCATTAATTATATTTTTTACAGTATCAGTTTCTAAATATGAGGCTTGGTTAACATCAGCAGTGCATAATGGAGTCGTTGAAGATTTAACCATGCGACCGGAGCGTGTACGCGTAAGTGGCTGCTGAGAATTAGTCACAGTTTTACTTATCTCCCGTTGTTTGACAACAGGATCGATTTTCAGTCTTTTAAACGCTCCTTCCGTTTGCTGATTACCCTCATTAACTAAAGGATGCTTTTTTGGTCGACCTATTTTAGCTTTCGCAGGAAAGATTTTGCTCCTGGCAGATGCTGAGTGGGTCAAAGTTTGATTATTTTGTAGAACTAAATCCTCGGGGCCTAGAAGTCGGTACAAAATTTGATGACTGCTCCCTGCTCGGATACGCCTTATTTCATTTTTATCCCTAATAAAAGATTATTTTAATTAACTCCCTGATTAAATATATTGTTTAATTACCTATCAATCATGATACAATCGAGTTTTGCTGATTTGTGTATATTATATGCAAAAGTTAGAATGTTATTAGAAAGTGTACTAATATTAGAGGATTTTGGCTCAGTCAAGGTGGTTGCTTCAACATGGTTTAATTTGTACCAAGTGGACTCCTCGGTAGACGACACGCCTTCAAAATCAACCCGTGATATAATCTTCCCCTTGGAACATTTTGTCGTCAATATAACATTCGTCACATCGAAAGCATAATTTTGTGGTGGAAGCTTACTTATAGCTCCCGATGCATTGGCGATTTTTTTATATATACCAGGAACCATGAATGGTGCATTAACTGGTTGTAGTTCATTTTGATTAACTGAGTATAGTGAAAGTTCCTCTTCTGGCGAGGATTGGGAGTCCGTGGATACAAGAAAATCATAATTAGAGTAAGCTGGCAAAAAATTCGAAGCTCGTTCCTCATTTATAATTTGTTTGCCATTAACGTAGGGACCTTCTTCGTTTCCATTATTTCGTTTTGTCGTTGCTTCAACATGTTCATTGCGTGCTTTTAGTGCTGGTATTGCTGTACCTTGTGTTGATGTTTCTAAACCCTATCGAAATTAAATCAATTAATTAACATATTTGTTGTGTTATTTCACATTTTACCTCATTATTTTTAAGAAGCTCTTCGATTTCCTCAAATATATTATTAACTTCTTCGCCGGTTTTTACCATATCTTTGGTATCACTAGTAATGTCATTCATAATATAATTAGTTTACAAAATACCTTCTTTGCCGATATTCAATTATAGCAACTTTTGTTTTGTTCTACCCATAGAGGTAAACAAATATATGCTTCTTTTAAATGAATGATAACAGAAGTGTTGCCACTTTATATACGAAAGCATTTCTTTTTAACATCACCCAGTCTTCATTTACTGTAATCTCTTTTAATAATGTTACGCACCTAACTATTTTTCGTTATAATTTCAATTGTAATATTTCTATCACACTGACATCAATTTATTTCAAAGTAAACTGAAAGAAATAGAAGCGTAGTTAACCAAAAATTAATTATGGAGATGTAAATAAAACTTTAAAATCTACATATATATATTGCACAATTATATTGAGCAATCAAAGTTACGTGGAATACAACCCTGCGAAGAGAACAGATGTTTTTTGTTATCATTTTGTATTCTCCCTTTATCGCCATTTGTTTATCCCACTCTTTTATTATGTTGAGGGGTCAATTCAATATCTTTTCAAAAGCACGAAAGAGATCAGAAGAAAAAGAAACATAAATATTGTGAACACAGAAAAGGAAACTAGCAAACGGAAAAACAAACATACGAATAGATTCATGGGTAAAAGCAAGTGAATTGATTGCGTCGAATATCTGGGAATTTGAATTTGTGCAAAATAAAGCGCAGTTTTAATTATCCATGATAGATTTGTGAATTTGAAAGCAAAATTAATTTAATGTGCGCTGTTTAATAAAATAGAAAATTTTTGTAAAGAAATCGGGGGAAGAATTGTAACAACGCAAGAAAATATTTGTGACGAAAAATCTGAAAACAAAGTATACTGCGACATATGGAATACAGGTGAAAACAATTTGTCAAGTGAAGACATTCACTTTTCAGTCGAAGTGAATACTAAATCAATAGTTGAAAATCTAGCTAATTATTAGGTGTTTGAAAAATCGAACTTCTAAGTAAAAGGAAAAGCTTCAATACATTCATAGTATGTTGAGGTGCATTCAGTAACAAAATTTGACGCATATAATCCGAATGAATGTCAAATATTATAGCTGCTAGAGGAGTGAATATATAGAGTGTACGAAAACATACTGTTTTGAATTACCTACGCTCATATTGTAATTAAATTAACGTTAATTGGCTGGTGGACGTAAAATGTTTTGAAGAAAATACATGCATATTCCTATATTGGTATCCCATTAGCTAACGATTCAAGAAATATTGGAAAGACAGGTAAGAAAATAGGCATATTCAAACACAAGCATATGTATGTACTTATGTATGTACAATCAGCAGCTAGTTGCATTGATATAAGAAATAGAAGCGTATTCAAAATTTATTTTTGCTTTTGTACATACATACATGAATATAACACCAGCAATACCCTTTAAATAAAGAAAATTTATATTTAAGGCTATGTACACATTTTTATTGTAGCATATGATTGTGCACATATAAATATGTGCAAGAGTGAAATCTTTATGAAGAACAAGGTCATTTTTCGACTTTGACCCAATTGTATTATCTAGTTGTAAAAGAGGTTATTAGGGCTTTAAAAATAATCACTAATAACTTCTAAAACGTAATGGTTCAATGATTAATAAGAAAAAACTATAAAGTTGTAAAGTAAAAATGCAATTATAAATTTCGCGTTACAGTGTTTATTATTTCGGTGTTTATTATTATTTTCTTATAATTGCTGTGTAGTACCTGCATTTAAGAAAATCGTCAAGGTTGGCAGTTAGAGATTTTGCTTCTATATATACAATATGAGGAAATCTTTAACCAAAGCTTTCGAAAGCATTATTATATTTAGACTATTTATTAGTAAAAATCGTATGTTCTTGGATGAATTAAATGCTAGATTCGTATAAGAAACTGCTCTATTATTTCTAACCACTCCTGGTATCCTTTGCTTTAGAGAATATAAATATCGGTAAAAGAAGGATATTATTTAAATTATTAGCTTTTATTTTCCTGATATTATTGTTGTACTTACATACATACATTACGCCCATATAATCAATACAAAGATTTTGTACTTCATACCGCTTACACTCAAGATCCAACTTGAACCGTTTAATCCATTAAAATTGCGCGCACAAATCTAAGCGGTATATTTTCTCTAGATTAGTACAAGCATTTTAATGTTGGTGTGAAGTTTGATCTCTAAATATGTTAATTAGAGTAAATTAGCACAATTAACTAATTAATAATATTTTTATTCTAGTAGCCCTTATGAGTAAGTTATTTTCTTAGAACAACTTGGAAAATCAAAAGTTAAGATAATTTGTGCAAATCCTACCCTAGTTTCAAAATACGCAACATAGCAATTTCCATCCACTTTCACTTTCCTTTTGACTTCAAAGCGTTTGTTTCACAATCTGTGAAATTTTAATGATTGATTGCCGTTTCTTTTAAGTCGTTCGTGAGTTATAGCGTCGTATACATGGAGAAAAATAAAGAGAAAATACGGCATATTTTACAGTATTACTACGATAAAGTCAAAAATGCATCTCAAGCCGCCAATAAAATTTGTGCAGTTTATGGACCCGATACAGTTTCCATTTCCACCGCACAACGATGGTTTCAACGTTTTCGTTCTGGTGTAGAGGTGGTCGAAGATGCGCCACGCTCCGTAAGACCTGTCGTCGAAAATTGCGATAAAATTGCTGAATTGGTCGAAAGAGACCGGCATAGTAACAGCCGTAGCATCGGCCCCAGCTGGGCATGAGTCATCAAAAAAAATTTTATGAACAATTGAAAATTCAATAAAAATACCGCAAGACTTTTGTGACAACCCAATATATATGTATCTACATGTGTGTATAAAAATATAAAAGAAAGCAATGCTCCTTGTTGATAGTATAAAATTCCATTTGGGTAGTCGTTAATCATATCTAGTTACTCTCACACGTACAAAGCTCTAAAGTATAAAACGCAATTTCCACACGCCATAGATAAGCGACATATATGAAAAACTGTTGATAACCGCCTAAAAGCCAGTATTAATGCGAAATTCACAGCGATTAATAATAGCAAAATGCATTGGAGTGTGTACTCAGTAAATGCTCACTTAATAATATCTGATTTAAACTTAATACGCACATATTAAACATATGTACAAGTGTGTTGAAGAATGACATTAAATGTACAGAATATGGTATTGTGTCAGCTGATCTTTTCTTGGGAACTCATTTCCCTATATTTAATTTTTGTTTTGTTGCTTGTCTTAATGGCTTTCCCAGTTGGTTGGTTATGAACAGGGAATATTAGTTTGCCACGAAATGTGTAACAACTGGAAGAAAACGCCGGAGACCCCATACATAGAATGTATATACATATAATAAGTAAGGAAGTGCTCAGTTCGTGTGTAAGCGAACATATCATAATCTTGTTACTTGCAAAGATCGAAATCGGAGAAAGACTTACAGGTGTTGGACAAAAAAGAAGAATTTAACATTCTTTGTTCGCCGATTTGGATTTATAATGCAGTCTTATACGTTCAGTTAAGAGATCGTCTCAGTATGAAATTTTCGGGAAATCGATTTTTTTGTTGCATTATCGGATAGTGCACACCTAATATTTTTTTAATATTTAATATTTTTTTCTACGAAAAACTGTTGAAAAAATTGCCAAAATCGATTCTTTTTGTTCAAACTGCCGTTATTTTGTCAAATTAAAAAAAAAAAAAGATTAGATTAATAATCTTTTTGAAATTTTCCAATCATGGACATCGTACACAATCTTTTTTTTAACCATTATACCCCAATATATAAAGATAAAAAAATCATTTTTACTTGCCATGAATGTATTTATTTGTTAAAAAACGATCCCTTAATTCTCCTAAAATAGCTTACATACATCTACCGATATATACGGACCGATATAGGTGTATGATAAATACGGTTTTATTTATTTTTGGAATCACTATATATTACTAAGAGAACAATATGCTTTCTGGGTTTAATTAAGGTTCCTCACATAAAATTACCAATATATAAGGAGAAAAACAACCGGATGTTTGAAAATCCTGATATTTGTTATATAGAGCTAGGTGAAGTTTTAAGCAGATAATATTTCATAAATTTAGTCGATGGGCCTAGGGTGATAACTTTAGGCGATACCAAATCCATCTTATCATTTTGACTGCGGCTTCTGCAAAACCTTTCGTTTGATCTCGAATGTCGCGCTTTTAGGGCCGTTATCTTTTTAACAGAACCGTTATATGGGCAGGAGGCAGGGAAAACTGTTGACAACAAGTGTTCCTCACTATTGCGATTCCCTTGGCGAATTACCGGTTTGTATCTTAATTTAGCACTTAGTTATGGCACTTTATAGATATTCGTTTAATGGGAGTTGTGGGCGTGGCAGTGGTCCAATTACGCCCATCAAATCGTCCTTTCTTTTCTGCAGAGGAAGCCATGTACCAAGTTTGAATAAGATATCTAAATTTTTACTCTATTTACAGTTCAAACAAACTCAATCAGTTGTTTCGAAAAAAATTGGCAAGGTGCCTTCCTGAAATTTTGCAAAGATTATTGTCTAAGGCATTGTTATAACCAACTTATAGACATAAATTCTTTGGATCGCTCAACTAGCGCATATAATTGCCATTAAAACTGATCGCTCAAAATCTAGATAATAAGTGGTTTGTCTACATTTTATGCTATAAAGCTTAGTAAGAGTACTATAGTTTCGGTGTAACAGTATATTCCTGCTTGTGAAGACCATTGTAGCTGGTATCCATGCACAAAGAATCCGACATCATAATTGCCGCGACCAGCTCACACATTAAAATAAAAGGCCAATAGCCGATTCTTAACTGCTGGTCATCGGCATTTCCAGGCCGGGGAAACAAAGCACAGGCAAATACAATAAAAAGTTGAAGTTAATAATGAGGAAATTACAATCACAGCCAGGCTGTTGGCGACGCCAACGGCAGTCGGCTATACTATACTTCGTTAAGAAATTATGAAGCAGCAATTTAATTAGAGTATGATGAGTGGAACACAATGCTAGCGAYAGACTGCAGCAGCACGACAGTGAACTGAAAATGGCGTTGTGAATCCTACTACATGAACGTTTGTGAGAGGGCAGCAACATAACAATGGCCGGCATGTACACAAAACAACGCAGTTGTCCATTTTGCATGTACACAATTTCGTTGTGGCCATACTAATACCTTGCACTTCAATGAAATTTTAATATTTTGTTCAAAGTGAAATTTTTAAGCAAAAAATAAGTAAATAGGTAAATTTATTCGTTTCAAATTATCAATTGTTATTATAAATGATGTAACAGGGCTATTTTATGCTTTTATTTGTAAAATAACGTTATGTTTGTTAGAGCTTTGAGTAAATTTACATTTTACATATTATTGGCATCACCACTCTACCTCATCTCTCTATCTTCCATTTTACTGTTAACTCTCCTGTCGTCCTACTGTCGTTGGCAAATATAGGATAAAATTGAAGTTAGCGAGARCGACAACTGTCGGCCTGCCGTCGTGTAGTCGTGCAGCTATCAAAATAGGTCCGTCCATAAGAACGTGTGTATTTTAATATTTGACAGATGTCGTTTGMAGTCTGTCGCGAGCATTGTATTCAACACATGAAACTCATTGCTTATACAACGAAAAATGAGGAAAATACTGAATTTTATGTAAGAGTCTATTGACTCTGTCTACACCATAGATAGACGTCAACCGAATCGAGAACAAATACAAAACGCTAATGAATAATATATATTAAGAATTAAAATACGAAATCTGAAAGCTCGCACAATCATCATAAGTTCATACATCGATACATATGTATATATATTTATGTTTGTATGTATTTTGCATTGTAATGTATTCGTTCTGATAGAGAGAAATTGAGAGGGAATAAATGTATGTATTTTTGTATACAAAATATGTAAACAAAGGAAATTACAAGCATCCATCGATGGTTGAATTAGAACTCAGAAGTTTGCAGGGACATACATATTCCTCAAATCACTTCATAGAAACATATTTCAGCTAATAATGGGGTCATTTCTGGTTAAGTAGTGGAAACGTTATTGTAGGCATGATTTCAACTTAAAAGTTTCATATATGTAGATTTGTAGTAAAGTTGAATATTTTCTATTGATGCCTAGCGAACTTTAACTATATCCCAAAAAAATCTGGTTAAACAAACTATAAAAACCTTCCCAAAATTTAATTTTCTATTTTTATTAAAAAACAAGAA